GAGGGATTGGGGTGGGTGTGGGGAATGGGGTGGGGGCAGTTGTGTTGGGGGGGGCGTCTGACCTGCTTACCTGGCCCCCAGATTCTCTGACACTGCAAGTCTGCGAGCTGACACTGGCCATTGTAACAGTGGCCCCGGCCTCCGCCACACCTGTAGCCGTTCTTCTTGAAGAGGTTGTTGACACAGTCTGGCCGATCCCCAGAACACACCTCCGGCAGGTCACACTCCCCTACTGCCTGTCTGCACAGCCGGCCTCGCGGTAACACCTAACAGAGACGCACAGAGTCACACATACAGGCACACATACACACAGACACGCGTGCACACACACCAACACATAAACACCAACACAGACACACATACGCATAATAATATGTGTGTGTCTTTGGGTGTACATTTGTGTCTGTGTCAGTGTGTGTACACGAACACACACAGACAGTGCTGTAATTCAGGGGGCAGTGACATAGTGTGTGAGGGGTGGTAGTGTAGAACTGGTGCGACTATCACTCAATTGGAAGGGATGAGTGGCTGAGCTGTGGGCAGGAAGATTGGGGAAAAGTTCTCACATTGTATTGCCCACCGAGAAGCTCACAGGGAGTTCCTGGTTCCTGCCATCCACCCGCGCTTGTCAGGTGTCAAATGACCAACTTGTGACTGTCCTCCTTGGGGGTGTGGGGGTGTGGTTTGGGAGGGTCTCATTGGAGCTGAACTGCCTCTAAGATGAGATTCCTGGCAACGGAATATCAGAAGAATCCACCCTCTATGACAATCTCTAGTCTGATTCCTGAGCCGGGCCGGTCCGCAGTGTCCCAGGACACTGCTGATGACAGCACAGCCCAGACTGGCTCATTAGCAGGACCTGGAAGGGCAGACCAGTCACTGGGGGCAGGGAATCCTCCCACTCAGCTCCTGTTAACCCTGCAACGTAAAGCTCTCACCGGTAGGGTGTTCCTCGCTGGACAAATAGTGGGAAAGCTTGTCAGACAGTGCTCTCAATGGCAAGCTCTGCACTTTTAGCTGTTTAAGACTCCAGCAGTTACCCCAACGCACAGTTACCCCTCGGCTCTTACCAACTCTGTGTCCCTCCAGAGAGAGTGTACATTCTAGAAATCTCCATGTGTAGGTGGGTGGTCCTGGCTGGACACGTAGCAGGAAAACTTGTCAGATGGTGCTCTGTCACACTAACCTGGCAACTCTCACAGCAAGCACCCACAGAGGCACATTTGGCTTTGGGTTTCAGCTGACAGGTGGAGGCATCACAACAGGGATCTTTACAACTCTGAGGGCAAAGCAAACAAGGATTGTAATGTTCCCACATGACAGTCCTCACAGCCCAGTCACAGCCCCAAACCCCAAACCACAGTCACAGCCCCCAACCCCATCCACCAGCCCAAACCACAGCCACAATCACAACCCCAACCCCAGCACCAACCCCCAAACCGCAGCCACAGCGCAAGCCCCCAAACACAGCCCCCAGCCACAGCCTCAGCCCCCAAACCACAGCCCCAACCCCATCCAGCAGCCCCAACCCTAGCCCCAAACCTAACCCCAAACCCAACCCCAGCCACAGCTCCGACCCCCAAACTGCAGCCACAGCCCAAGCCCACAACTACAGCCCCCAACTCCATTTCCAGCCCCAACCCCAGCCCCAGCCACAACCCCCAGCTGCATCCACAGCCCCAGACCCAGGGTCCCAGCCCCAACCCCAGGGCCCCGACCCCAACCCCAGGGCCCCGACCCCAGGGCCCTGACCCCAGGGCCCTAGCCCCCAAACCCCAGCCCCATTCCCAGGGCACCAGACCCAGCCCCAACCACTGCCCCAACCATAACCCCACACCTCTCCACACTCCCTAACTACCTCTCCACACTCTTACCCCAGGCTGCCCACAGTCGCACTCCTCTCCACTCTCCACAAACAGGTTCCCACACACACGACCGCCCACCATATTGTCAGGGTTTGGGAGGTTGAAGAGACATTGAGCCCCACCACGAAGAAGGAGGTTTCTGAACTCTGCCAGGCTGCATGTGCTGAAGGCTTGTGGTGGCCGAATGCTATGAACATAAGAGGAACAAGGTGAAAGGAGATCTGCTCCTTACTTACTGACCTGTCGCTCCCTCGCAAGCTGCTGACAACATAGACTCCAGAGCACATTATAATAATAATACTGGCATTTGATATAGTTCCTTATCACACCTGCGTGACGTGTCAAAGGACTTCACACAATATAGTGTAGTGACTGTATTTTGTGGGTGAACCATGGTAGCCAATTGTGCAGATCAGTGTTCCACAAACAGCTGTGGATTGAGTGACCAAATTTTTATTAAAAAAAAACTATATTTTTTGAAGGGATTATTACTCCTGGAAAATTGACTAACAAGCAGGTTCCTACCTACTTACTGCTGGGTAAACAGAGGCGTGTGGAGTTAGGAAGCTTGCTTAAGGTTTTGCCCTGCCCGGGAATTGAACCCAGGTCCTCTCGCTTGCTAACCACTATGCTGCAGCACTCCACATGTTGAGCTATCATACACACCCTCAGCAAAGGCACGGTCAAAGAGGAGGGTCTTGAGGTGTGCCTGGAAGGAGACGGGTATGAGTGAGGCAAAGGGACTGTTGGATGGGGGCTGGAGCCTGCTGAGTGGAGGGAGTGGACCAGTTGATAATAATAATATAATAATAATAATAATCCTTGCATTTGATATAGCGCTTTTCACGTCAGGAGGACGTCCCAAAGCGCTTCACAGAACACACTGTAAAGTGAATTGACTGTATATTTGTGGGCGAACGCGGCAGCCAATTGCGCACAGCAATGTCCCACAAACAGTCGTAGATTGAAAATGACCAATTTGATTATTGTTTTTGGTTTTTTGGAGGGATTATTATTAGGCTCTGTGTGGAGTAAGGAAACTTGCCCAAGGTTTCGCCCTGTGCCTGGGGTGATATGGGGTTAGCAGGTCCAGAGGTAGGAAGGAGCAAGGCCGTGGAGGGGCTTGGAAGGCAAATACAAAAATTTTGAATTCTATGGGGATGGGGAGCCAGTGGAGTCGGGCGAGGGTGAGGGTGGGGTCCCGGAGCCTGGTGCGGGAGAAGACACGAGCTGCAGAGTTCTGGATGATCTGCAGCTTGTGGAGGGAGGAGTTAGGAAGGCCGATGAGGAGGGAGTTGGTGCAGTCAAGACTGGATGTAATAAATAACAGGTGACACTGCGGAGCACAATCATCCAACTGTTTCACAACTGTGGGCGGCATTCCATAAACCCGGACAGGTTATCCCACCCATCCCGCTCACATAGACAGCTTTACTACTCCTCAGCCATCTGCAACAATTTGCATTCATATAGTGCATTTCAATCCAGGGGGCATCGCGAAGCGCTTAAACCAGGCCTCTGTCACTGTCTCTGTCACTGTCTCTGTCATTATCTCTACCTCTGTCACTGTCACTGACACTGTCACTGTCTCTGTCACTGTGTCTGTCATTATCTCTACCTCTATCACTGTCACTGACACTGTCACCATCATTAGGTCTACCTCTGTCACTGTCTCTTTCACTGTCACTATCATTGTCTCTGCCTCTGTCATTGTCTCTGTCACTGTCTCTGTCACTATCTCTGTCATTGCCTCTGTCATTATCTCTGCCTCTGTCACTGTCTCTGTAATGCTATACAAATGTAATCTTGTTGTTGTATCTGTCACTGTCTCTGTCGTTATCTAATAAAATAAATAATAATCCTTGCAATTAATATAGCGCTTTATCAAAGCGATTCACAGAACATAATATACTGTAAAGTGAATTGACTGTATATTTGTGGGCGAAACACGGTAGCCAATTACGCACAGCAGTGTCCCACAAACAGTCGTGGATTGACTGACCACATTTGTTTTTACCTTGAGGGATTATAACAACAACAACTTGGATTTATATAGTGCCCTCCATGCCGGACGGCATCTCAGAGCGCTTCAATTATTATTAGGCATTTGGAGTAAGGAAACCTGCCCAAGGTTTCGCCCTGACCTGCTGGGAATCAAACCCAGGTCTCTCGCTTGCCAGGCGAGGGCTCTAACCACTGAGCTACAGGACTCCACATGTCACTATCTCTGTTTCTGTCACTGTCTCTGTGCTGTAGCCTGACACGGTGTGTGAGCTGTAAGTGTGTGTGATAGTCTGGCCCAGGCGTGACGTGGCGTGTGGCTGACATATGGAGTGTAAGCTTACCCGTGTGAGGCGCCCATGATACAGCCTTCTGTCCTCTTGTTTGAGCACTGGCAGCTCGGGGACTCGCTGTCGTGTGACAGCCCCAGGTTATGACCTATCTCATGGGCTAAAACTCCAGCCACTGGCAAGATAGACGATTGGGTGTCCTACAGTGGGCAAGTCAACAGTGTTACATACCGTACCGAGCTAACAAACTAGCTAACTCACTAACTAGCTAACTCACTAACTACCTAACTCACTAACCACCTAACTCACTAACCACCTAACTCACTAACTACCTAACTCACTAACTACCTAACGCACTAACCACCTAACTTACTAACTACCAAACTCACTAACTACCTAACTCACTAACCACCTAACTCACTAACCACCTAACTTACTAACCTCCTAACTCACTAACTACCTAACTCACTAACTACCTAACTCACTAACTACCTAACTCACTAACCTCCTAATTCACTAACCACCTAACTCAATAACTCATTAGAATCACAGAATTATACAGCACAGAGGGAGGCCATTCGGCCCATCGTGTCTGTGGCGTCTCTTTAAATTGAGCTTCCAATTCAATCCCACTCCCCGCTCTCTCCCCACGGCCCTCAAACCTGTCCTCCCCAAATAATTATCTACATATTATTATTATCTCATTATCTCTCTCTCTCATTGAGCCTCATGCACTCACTCTGTCTCTCACACTGAGCCTCATTCTCTCTCTCTTTCACACTGAGCCTCACTCTCTCTCTCTCTTACTCTCACTCTCTCACGCTGACCCTTACTCTTTCTCTTACTCACTCTCTCACATTCAGCCTCACTCTCTCTCTCTTACTCTCACTCTCTCAACAACAACAACAACAACAACAAGATTCCATTTATAGAGCGCCTTTCACGTCAGGAGGACGTCTCACGCTGACCCTTACTCTCTCTCTTACTCACTCTCTCACATTCAGCCTCACTCTCTCTCTCTTACTCTCACTCTCTCACGCTGACCCTTTCTCTCTTACTCTCACTCTCTCACATTCAGCCTCACTCTCTCTCTCTTACTCTCTCACACTAAGCCTCACTCAGTCTTTTTCTCAATCTCTCACTCTCTCACACTGAGCCTCACTCTCTCATTTTCTCTCAAACTAAGCCTCATTCTCTTTCGCGCTCTCTGTCTCACACTGAGCCTCCTTTTCTTTCTCTCTCACTCACACTCAGCCTCTCTCTCACACTGAGCATCTCTCTCTGGCAGAGCCTCACTCCCCCACACACACTGAGCCTCACTCTTTCTCGATCTCTCTCTTCTCTATCTCTCTCATTGAATCCCTCTCTCTCTCATGGAACTTCACTCTCTCTCTCTCTCTCTCTCTCACACACTGAGCCTCACTCACTCACACCGAGGTCTGGGAATGGACACCCAGAAGGGGGAGCAGAGAGACCGGGGGGGACGGTACACAGTAAAACCGTAGACTGATTGGTACCAAAGCCAGAGCTCACCAGAGAGACACCTCCTGACAGCCTCACAGAACAAATCCCATGGACTGGGGCTGTACCTGCTGTACCTCCATGGAACGTTCCTCCTCTGTGTGAGAGAGAGTGAGAGGGAGGGAAAGAAAGGATGAGAGAGAGAAGGGCGCGAAAGGGGGAGAGAGAGGGAAAAACGGGGAAGAGAGCGAGTGAGAGAGGGAGAGAGGGGAGGGGGGAGAGATGAGGGGGAGAGAGAGGCGGGAAAGAGGGGGAGTGAGAGAGGGAGGGAGAGAGAAAGGGGGGGGGACGGGGAGAGGGGGGAGAGAGGGACAGAGTGAGGGGGGGAAGAGGGGGAGAGAGTGAGAGAGAAGGGGGACGGGGAGGATGGAACGGGAAGGGGGAAACGAGTGAGAGAGCGAGGGGGAGGGAGTGAGAGAGAGGGGTACAGAGCGAGAGAGGTAGGGGGAGAGAGTGAGCGGGGGAGAGAGAAGGGGAGAGAGAGAAAAAGGGAGAGAGGTAGCGAGAGATTTGGAGGAGGAGAGGGGGAGAGAGCGTGAGAGAGGGGAAAAAGAGAGAGGCTGAGAGGGATGGGGAGGGGGAGAGAGAAGGGGAGAGAGTGGAAGAGAGAGGGGGGAGAGAGAGGGAGAAGGGAGACAAAGAGAACGAGAGAGTGGGTTTGAGAGAGCGGGAGAGGGAGAGAATGAGACGGGGAGAGAGTGAGAGGGGGACAGAGTGAGAGAAGGAGAGGGTGAAGCAGAGAGGGGGAGACTGTGAGAGGGGGAGAGAATGGGAAAGTGGGAGGAGAGAGAGGGAGGAGGACAGAGCGAGAGAGTGGGTGGGGAAGAGAGAGGAGAGAGTAAGGCAAAAAGGGGTAGAGGGGGAGAGAGTGAGGGGGAGAGAGTGGGGATGGGGGGGAGGGAGTGAAAGGGGGAACAATTGAGAGGGAGAGAGTGAGGCGTAGAGGGGGAGTGAGGGAGCAGGTGAGGGGATGGGCATGGGAGTGGAGAGAGGGAGAGGGGGAGATAGTGAAAGGGGGGAGGTGAGCGAGGGACAGAGGGGTGAGAGAGGGAGGGAGGGAGAGGGCGGGGCAAGAAAGGTGGGGTGCAAGAGAGATGGGGTGGAGAATGAGAGGGGAGAAAGTGAAAGGGGGAGAGAGTGAGAGGCGGAGAGAGGGAGGGGGAGAGAGACAGGGTGGAAAGGTGGAGAGAGTGAGAGGGGGAAAGAGAGGTGGAGAGAAAGAGAGGGAGGAGGAGGGGGAGGGAGTGAGTGATTGAGGGAGGGGGAGTGAGGGAGAGGGAGTGAAGGAAGGGGAGTGAGGGAGAGGGAGTGAGGGAGAGGGAAAGAGCGAGAGAGTGGGAGGGGGAGAGAGCGGGAGCGGGAGAGAGTGGGAGGGAGGGGGAGTGAGCGAGAAGGGGGGGAGAGAGAGATGGGGGACAGAGAGTGTGAGAGAGAGGGAGAGGAAGAGAGAGCAGAGAGAGAGATAGAATGGCGGAAGAGAGACGGAAACAGGGAGGAGAGGGAGAGAAAGAGATGGAGAAAGACGGGGGAGACAGTGATAGACATGAAACGAATGAGAGAGAGTGGGTGTGAGAGAGAGAGAGAGAGAGAGTTATACAGTGTAGTGACTGTGTTAGTGCAGTGACTGACTGACCCCAGGAGCTGAGCGTGATCGTGTTGGAGACGAGGCAGGAGTCTGGTTTGTCGCCACTGGAGGAAGCGATGAAGTGTTCCCGCAGCGTCTCTGTCCACAACGATCGGGTTCGTGCTCCACAGCTCCACAGCCATGAGAACCACCCTAACCCCCAGCGCCCTGTAATACTGTACATACACATAGTGCCCTGTAATACTGTACACACACACACAGCGCCCTGTAATACTGTACACACACAGCGCCCTGTAATACTGTACACACACAGCGCCCTGTAATACTGTACATACACATAGTGTCCTGTAATACTGTACACACACAGCGCCCTGTAATACTGTACACACACAGCGCCCTGTAATACTGTACACACACACACACAGCGCCCTGTAATACTGTACACACACACACACACACACAGCGCCCTGTAATACTGTACATACACATAGTGCCCTGTAATACTGTACACACACAGCGCCCTGTAATACTGTACACACACAGCGCCCTGTAATACTGTACACACACACAGCGCCCTGTAATACTGTACACACACACAGCGCCCTGTAATACTGTACACACAGCGCCCTGTAATACTGTACACACACAGCGCCCTGTAACACCGTACATACACATAGCACCCTGTAATACTGTACACACACACACAGTGCCCTATAATACTGTCCACACACAGCACTCTGTAATGCTGTATACACACAACACTCTGTAATGCTGTACACACACAGCATTCTGTTAATACTGTACACAGACACAACCCCCCCCCCCCACCCACTCAGCACTTTGTAATACTTTATATACGCACACACACACGCACAGGCCTGGTTCAGTGTTAGTGCTCTCGCCTCCGCGTCAAAAGATTGTGGGTTTAAGCCCCATTTCGGGACTTGGAATCACAGTCTGGGATGCGTTGCGTTCTCGGAGGTACCGTCTTTTGGATGAGAAGTTTAACTGAGGTCCTGTCTGCCTGCTCAGGTGGAAGTTAAAGACCCCACGGCACTATTCGGAAAGAGAAGGGAGTTTCTCTCTCCTGGTTCCTGGCCAACGATCCCCCAGAGGAAGAAAATGGTCATTCATTTTGTGGCTGTTTGCGTGACACTGCTGTGTGCAATTGTCTGCCATGTTTCATCCACAAAATATACAGTCAATTCATTTTACACTATATTCTGTGAAGCAATTTGAGACGTCTTGAAGCAGGGCTATGGGGAGAGAGCGGGGAGTGGGATTGAATTGGAAGCTCTTTTCAAAGAGCCGGCACAGACACGATGGGCTGAATGGCCTCCGTCTGTGCTGTATAACTCTATGATTCTATGATTATTAAAAACAAAAACAACTTGCATCAACATCGCGGCCTCACACAGGGCAGTGTCCAGGGCGCTTGACAGTGGTGGAGCACAACGCTGAGCCAGGGAGCGGGAGGTGACTGTAGGCACAGTCGAATAGGAAGGTCTTCAGGCGCGACCTGAAGATGGGGAAGGAAGGGGCGAGGCCGAAGGAGGGACGGGGTGACAGAGCTTTGGGGTGTAGTGGCTGACGGTGGCCCTGGGATCTGACCCACGTACTGATGGCCTTTGGCTGGTCTGACTCACCACGTCCACTGTGTTTGCTGTGCGTAACAGCCGTGCGATGGCATCCGCTCTGCTCCTCTGATGGGACATGTACTGAGGGCAGACACAGGCAGTGTTACTAATCAGCTGTGTCTGCCTCACGCTCAGCCCTTCCAGTCACACACAGGAGGGCAATCACACACTAACCTTCACTATGTTACTGTCACACACACCCTCACTGTGTCACACACACCCTCACTGTGTCACTGTGTCACACACACCCTCACTGTGTCACACATACCCTCACTGTGTCACACACACCCTCACTGTGTCACTGTGTCACACACACCCTCACTGTGTCACTGTGTCACACACACCCTCACTGTGTCACTGTGTCACACACACCCTCACTGTGTCACACACACCCTCACTGTGTCACCGTGTCACACACACCTCACTGTGTCACACACACCCTCACTGTGTCACACACACCCTCACTGTGTCACTGTGTCACACACACCCTCACTGTGTCACACATACCCTCACTGTGTCACACACACCCTCACTGTGTCACTGTGTCACACACACCCTCACTGTGTCACTGTGTCACACACACCCTCACTGTGTCACTGTGTCACACACACCCTCACTGTGTCACTGTGTCACACACACCCTCACTGTGTCACACACACCTCACTGTGTCACACACACCCTCACTGTGTCACACACCTCTCTGTCTCACTGTGTCACACACCTCTCCTCACTGTGTCACCGTGTCCTCCCTCACTGGTGTCACACACACCCTCACTGTGTCACTGTGTCACACAAACCTCACTGTGTCACACACACCCTCACTGTGTCACTGTGTCACACAAACCACACCCTCACTGTGTCACACACACCCTCACTGTGTCACTGTGTCACACACACCCTCAATGTGTCACGTGTCTCTCTGTGTTGCTTTGTGTCACTGTGTCTCTCTGTGTTGCTCTGTGTCTCTCTGCGTTGCTCCTTGTCCCTGTGTGGCTCTGTTTCACTCACTGTCGCTCACCTTTGCATCTGCGACAAGTACCAGTTCGATGTACTTGGTTTCAGTAATGACGTCTCTCTTCATCTGGGAAAGAGAAGAGTGAATGAGGCTGGGAGCCAGGTACCTGGGGAGGACTCCAGTCTGGAGAGCAACAACAACAACAACAACATTCCATTTATAAAGCGCCTTTCACGTCAGGAGGACGTCCCAAGGCGCTGCACAGTTGGGTCATGACCCGAGCAGGGGGGAAATGGTCAGGGTGAGGGGAGGGAGCGAGGGGGGGGAAATGGTCAGGGGGAGGGGAGGGAAGGGAGGGAGCGAGGAGGGGGAAGAGAGTCGAGAGGGGAGCTGAAGGCTCGGTCAAAGAGAAAGGTCTTGAGACCGGCCTTGAAGGAGGAGAGGGAGGAGGCGGCGAAGGCACTGGGGGATGGAGTTCCAGAGCCTCGGGGCTGAGAGGCTGAAGGCCCGACCACCGATGGTAGGGCGGTTGGGGCGGGGGACGTGGAGTAGACCGGAGCCAGAGGAACGGAGGGTACGGGCAGGTAAGTAGGGGGATAGTAGGTTGGAGAGGTAGGAGGGAGCGAGGCCATGAATAGCCTTGTAGGTGAGGATGAGGATCTTGAAATCAATCCTCTGGGGGATGGGGAGCCAGTGGAGGCGAGCGAGGGTGGGAGTGATGTGGTCCCGAAGCCTGGTGCGGGACGGTACACGAGCTGCAGAGTTCTGAATGACAAATGTCCCAAAGCAAATAGCCAGCGACACAGTCCACACAGTGAAGCTGATTGGGGAACCTGGAACAATGGCAACACCAGAGCTGGACATTTACACACTGGTTTGGGCACTTTTATCTTTGGTCACCGAGAGTATGACACACACACCCACCCACCACTGTGATCACCCGGGTGTCTGACACACACCCCCATCACCAATTGAGCAGAGAGCTCAGCAGCATGAGGTGGGAACTGAGTGAGGTGGAACAGAGTGAGAATTCTGTTAAGGAATTTGGTGAGAGTGGGCATCCTTCAGCAAGAAAGATACCAGAGAGCAAGAGAGAACTCTTTCATTCAGCAGAAGAGTGGGTAATCTATGTTGAGGTAGACCCAACCTTATCTGTAAGCAGGCAAACAAATCAATAAGCAGTTAATCATAGGCCTGGTGTTGGGGATTAAAAAATATGCAGACCAGTCAAAACTGGGTGCTTTTGTTTTGGTCCTATATAAAGGGGAAGACTTGTGAGATCCTTACTAGAGCAAAGAGTGCAGCAGCGTGAGGAGGGAACTGATTGAGGTGGAACAGAGTGAGAATTCTATTAAGGAATTTGGCGAGAGTGGGAATTCGGTGCAGAGGGGGAAGGAGGTGCGTAATTATAAAACATATAACTTATATTAAAATAATGTAAAACATGTCTGAGATGACAGGATGCATCCTAGGGAAGTAAGGGTGGAAATAACGGAGGATCTGCCTTCAAATCTTTGAAGGTTGCAGGACAGGTAGATAAAGCTGTTAAAAAAGCATAGGGGATACCAGGCTTTATAAATAGGGGCATAGAATACACAAGTCAGGAAGTTATAATAAAACTTTATAAAACACTGGTTAGGCCTCAGCTCGAGACTGTGTTCAGTTCTGGGCCCCACACTTTAGGAAAGATGTCAAGACATTGGAGAGGGTACAAAGCAGATTTACCAGAATGGTACCAGGAATGAGGGACTTCAGGTATCAGGAGAGGATAGAGAAGCCGGGATTATTCTCCTTGGGGTAGAGAAGGGTAAGAGGAGAC